AATGGGTAGTTACACATAGTTTTTGCCTTACCAGTTTTACTCCTGATGATCATATGAGAAAGAGATGGAAAGTACTTGGGAAATAAAATTGATTCTCACTGTTACAGTACATTTCTTATTTAATAGTAATATACAGAAAAATATTCTTGAATATGAAAGGATTCTAATAAAAATAACCAGGCATAATGTTCGTAATTTATTCAATAACATGTATATATATTTATATGTGTGTGTGCGTGTGTGTATTAATCAGTTCACCCCAATCAAGGTAGGAATGCCACTAGTACACAGGAGGTTACAGAGAGTGAGAGTAAGAGAAAGAACTGGGTATAGTTGGTCTTGAGGAAAGGATAAAAGCTGAACAGGATTCAAGTTTTGACAAGAAGGATTGTATTAAACCAAATAATCGCCCTGCAGCTTACGTAGAAGACCAGCTTGCCAAACCCAATCAGACGACTTCGAGATACCTAGACCCACAGCCCGAGATTCGCCGTTATTATCAAGAGTTTGATATACATATCCAGTGATAGCCATTAGCATATCAGCAGTAGAGCTGGCAAAACGGAAGCCATATTGTTTGACAGGGAGTAGGTCGCTAGAGGCAAAATGCTTAACTACTTCAGCATTAATTAAAGCTTCAAATAACTTTGCCGAAAATCCGTAAGTGACTAACAGGACGATACAAATGTCGGAAGTTTCTTTAGAATTCTTAAAAACACCAACTACACAGTAGAACATTCAACAAGCAAGGAACAGCGAGGCAATAATTGTAGAGTTTGGAAAGAACTAGAGCCACCACGGGAGCACCTTTCTTTAAGACGGCGTCAGGCATCCCGTCAACTCCGCTTGCCTTATGGGAGTCCAATTCAAAAAAGATGTGACGGGATTATGCGCATATCACACAGTAGAGATTCTTCTCTGGCGGGCGATTAGGTGTGGGTACATACATACATATATATATATATATATATATATATATACATATATATATATATATATATATGAATATATATATATATATATATATATATATATATATATATATATATATATACTCAGTTGGGTGAAACAAATATTCCGACACATACAAATTTTTAATTTATTGTATTTCCAACTAATGAATAAACATACTTTTCATATAATTAACTTTACACAGATTCATAATAACTAAATATGCATGGAAAACAGAAAAAAATTTATTTGGTAAAAAATAAATCCCATTTATCCATTTTAATGGCTGAAAAATTATTCGTACAATAAAAAATTACATAATCTTAATTTAGTACTTTATAGAATAGCCATTATTCAGTTCTCAATGACTTGCAAATTTTAGTTGGTATTTTGTTCCATTCTTCTTCGCATATGGTCTTCAAATCCGGGATTTTTAAGATCTTGGTTGGATTTGAATTTTCAAGTAGCGCCACAGATTTTCGACTGAGTTTAAACCTGGGGACTGACTTGACCATTTCAGGATATTATTTTTAGCAAGCCATTTCTTCGTATATTTTACAGTGTACTAAGGATCATTATCTTGTTGGAAGATCCAATCAGGAGGAAGTTAAAGATTTTCAACTGAAATCACTAAATTTATTTCCAAAATATTTTGATATGCCACGACATTCATTCTACCATGTATTACTGATATGTTGCCAGTACCTGTTGCAGAAAATCATCCCCAAAACATGATTCTGCCACCAACAAATTTCAATGTCGGAACTGTGTTCTTTTGTTTGAAGGCATCGCCAGATTTCCTCCATACATGATTTCTAGAATTACGTCCAAACAACTCAATTTTGATTTCGTCTCTCCATAATATCCTTCCCAATACGATTTTTTTTCTTATCCAAATATTCACGAACAAATTTCAACCTGGATTCTTTCTGTCTTTTCAATAGCATTAGAGTTTTCCGAGGGGAGAAAGATTTTAGGTTGTTCCTCTGAATTTCTTTGTGACTAAATTTGTAAAATTTTATTGGGATATCAAAACAGATAATTACGCACCGGTAGTAAAGTAGGAGTTCGTCACCAAAATCAAATCATTTTCTAGCCGAGGTGAACGATGCAACCTGTATTTATTGAAAAAAGATTCATCCTCAAAAATATTAATAATTTGAGACTGCTTAATAAGCGTAAAGAACTTATGATAGGCTGTAGTCACAGAGAGAAGTTTATCTTAAAATATTTTAATCCTGGATAAATATTCTATTCAAATTTCGCTTTCACATACCATATTTTATATATCTTATATCAGAATATTGGCTATCATAATTTAAAAGACATCACTTCGAAATGCTGTTTTATTTTAATTTTTTATGCGGCTAATTGGTAAATACTTTGAATTGTAGTCAATGAATGTGATTTTGTTATTAACCATGAGATCATATGTAAATTTTAGTGTGGAGTTTTTTCGAAAGTTGATTTTAGATTTATAATTTCGTTCTTACATTTTATCAAAGCAAAAATGTCGGCAATGTATTTTTTGTTGATTTCTGGTTTGTTAGTTGTTTCAAGCACCTTGTTTAAATATGAGACATGTAACAGAGAAGATATGTCCTAATGAGTTTCCTATGCTGACGTCATTAGTTTGGAAGTAGAGTACTGGTCGAATTTTGGAAGCAGGTTTTGTAGGATGTTTGTAAATGAAGTCACAATTTATGTTTATAGTTCCTTCAACCAAAATTTTGGTAAAAAGATTTTCTACATTATTTACATTATTCGGACTATTGTCCTTATCTTTGTCGCCATATTTGTTACAACGTTTTGGCCGTTGTACGCTCTAGCCTTCTTCAGGTGGTTGGAATGTCGAACTGAACCTTTTATTTCGCTCACTGTGGTAGACTGTTCTAGTTCTACGTGCCGTGTTTAATGAATGTCAGTTATCAGTTATCTCCTGTTAATTTCCCTCTGAAAGTTATCCACTGGGTATTGAACACACACTCTTTAGGTCCTGTTACTGAATCTAACTAACGCCTTTATCCACTGTGCCATGTGTCCTTGAGGATAACTGAATAATGTAAATAATGTAGATAATACCTCATCTCAGAAATATAGACAGATACTGAAAGGTAGAAATGTCGTAATAAATATGGCAACAAAGATGAGGACAATAGTCAGAATAATGTAAATAGTGTCCATAATACCTCATCTCAGAAATATAGACAGATACAGTAAGGCCGAAACCTTGTAATAAATATGGCGACAAAGATGAGGACAATAGTCCGAATAATGTAAATAATGTACATAATACTTCATCTCAGAAATATAGACAGATACTGAAAAAACGAAACGTTTTAATAAATATGGCGACAAAGATGAGGACCATATCCCGAATAATGTAAACAGTGTACATAATACATCATCTCAGAAATATAGACAGATACTGTAAGGCCGAGACGTTGTAATAAATATGGCAACAAAGATGAAAACAATAGTCCGAATAATGTAAATAGATGTATATATGTTTTTAACTTTGCTCTATCTATTTTTTTAAGCTACTCTCCTCTTATGACAAACTGGGGTAATGAGATGATAATTCCATTGCCTTGGGTGGATGTAAGATTTTCTATATCGAGCGAAGCTAGGGTCCTGTCTGTGGTATTTGTTACTTTTAAGATATGTGCGAGAGTTTGTTGATATGATACTGTAATTGTTAGCTGTGTATGGAGAAATTTTGTCATTTACGATTTTTAATTGATGATATATTGATGTAGTTATTTGGGACATATTAGGTCGGAGAAGAAAACATAGTTTATGGCTTTCTACGTTATATATACCTTGATTGGATTGCTAAGTGTCTACATTTGTAAACCAGGCAGCTAGTAAGGATAACAAGATTTTTTTTTTCTTTTTTCTACTAAAATATGTCTTACATTTGTAGACTCTTGATTATAATGGATAAGACCAAAAATGACTATAGGACACCTTGCAAAGAGAGACTCTAAATTCAGGAATCTGTTGTAATAAAAGAGAAGCAACCAACATTAAAGAAGTTATCTTTCTCCATAGGACACCATATATTGAAGTGTCTTTAAAATGATAATGTCCACGGTTATATTTACACCCACACACAAACACACAACACACACACACACACACACACACACACACACACACATATATATATATATATATATATATATATATGTACATATAAATGAAAGATGTAGCTGATTCTCGGCTGGATCACCCTAATGAACCTCGGCTAAAATCATCAATGATGGTGTGTGCAAAGCATTAAAAACACATGTATTCCACGATATATATATATATATATATATATATATATATATATATATATATATAACGTCATCCAGAGACAGACTGTTTCGCTGTTTAACAGCTCATCAGTGTGGCTATATATATATATGTATGTGTGTTTGTGTGTGTGTATGTGTGTGAGTGTGTGTGTTTGTGTGTTTGTGTGTGTGTGTATATATATATAGTTGTGTGTATGTATGTGTGTATATATATATATATATATATATATATATATATATATATATATATATATATATATATATGATTAACAGTAAATTTTGTCATTTAGTTTATTCATGTTACATTCAGGACCTGTACGATGTCTCTTCAGGGCCCATCGGCTTATATTTTTTCGATTATTTTTCTTTTTATACCTTTACCATATATATATATATATATATATATGATTTTATAACATATTTATGTTATTTTTTTAAATAAATAATTATATCTGCTCTATTCTGTAATGAGCACTCTTTTAAGAATAGTATTTGTTGGTTATTGGAATTCATTCCGTATATACTAATCCTATACTTGTATATATATATATATATATATATATATGTGTGTGTGTGTGCGTGTGTGTGTGTGCATGCGTGCGTGCGCTCGCGCTTGCATATACACCTAATGTAACAGTTAATTTTTTTTCTATCAAGCCAATAATCTTTAAAATATCATTTGGCTCATATTTCTGTTCACCTCTCCTTTGCAGGTCCGCCTTCAAGAAGAAACAGAAGAACGAGATGCTGAAGCGGGCTTCCTTCAACATCCCTTCTTTCGTTCTTCATTATGTCATTAATGGTCAAGACTGGCCGGAAGGGGACGAAGTCTATCACAGCTGGATCAGTGTTCCAACCTTGTTGATAAACGGCCGGGAGGATACATTTGCCACACTGGACGACGCTAAACTCATGAAAGCGGTAAGATACATTTTTTTTTATATATAAATATCTTACAGTTATCTCGTTAAGATAACTTTATATATTATTATCTCCTCCCAAAATTCTTAGAAGCTAAAAATATTTTCTAGCTTTAAAGAACCTGCAAAGGGTTGATAGACCGTAAAAAGCAAATCAATCACTTTAGGCAAAATTAGCTACAATGGGGATGTTCGTTAACGTTACGAAAAATAAAATGAAATATTGACAATTAGATTAGTTAATATCTATCAATTTCTCTTCGTGACAAAACCCCAAAAAAAGAACCTCTGATGTTTTGTGCATTCGCAACTGCTTTTTGTCTTCGTGATTTCTTTCTTTATTTTTTTTTACGGGGGGAGGTGTCACAAATTCAAGGCAGTAAAGCCACTAATACCGAACGCGTTACTTAGTGTGAAAGAATAAGAAAAAAACTGTAAAGGAGCGAGAACAGTAGAAGAAGTCTAATCAGGAAGACAGTCGACATCGATTCACCTTGCATTTAAATTTTTGAAGATCAAAGTTGGCTGGAAAACATAGAGCCGGATGAGAGTTCCACAAGCGAGAATTGCGCGAAAATATATTGTTAGTATAGAACTTACGGTTATATCTGTCCAACTCAACTGTAAATTGTTGGGACCTTTCCGCCAATCTAGTCCTGCGCTTAAATTCATAAAGTCTAGATACTATATCAAAGAGCTCATCCGAATAATTACCACGAAAGTATTGATAGAAAAGGCAGAGAGAAGCAAATTTATGTCCTTGACTGAAACCTAAATACCAGGTCAAGACAACTAATATTTATGATCCTTCTTTTGATTTATTATTATTATTATTATTTAAATGGTGTTCTCACATAATGTATTCTATTTTCTGTTTTTTTTTCAGACCATTCATGGATCGAAGCTGGAAATAGTGGACGAGGCAAGTCACATGGTGATGCTGGAGGCACCAGATAAGGTGAACAAACTGATTCTGGACTTTATCTGTTCGCGCGGATCGCACAAATTACCCGACGTGAAGGAGTCGGCCGAAGAAGGACAAGAGAGCCCACTGAAGACGATTTCTGCGTGCAGTTACGGCAGTGGGGTAGGTGGTAAGGCCGTTCCCACTTTTCACCTTCACCAGCACCAGCACACTGTCCCGCAATACTACGGAGCGCCTGAGGAGCGGTCGAAAACACCGACTCAGTCCCCAAGATCGAATGTCATGGCGGCCAGAACGGCGACGATGTCCTCTTCCCAGCCGCCGGTCACGGTTGAAAGTGAAAGACGAAAATATGCAGAAGAGGGTGAAGTTGATTTTTACACACCGAAAAGCTTCAATGAAGAGACGGTGGCACGAGGTAACTCGACCCCTTGGCAAAAATGGTCGAAAAAGCAGCAGAAATCAAGTTATGACAATGCGAGCTACGAGTCGGATGAATCAGTAGAAGAATATTATTATTATAAGGACCAGTATGGTAATCATCATTACGTTAGCGCTACAGAATACGCTAGACAGTTTCCCCACCAGCAACTGCCGCCAGTCGATTACCGAACGAACGAAGTTGAAATGGAAGTATCTACATTTGACATTCCGGCATTTGAGGATATCTCCGTCGACCAGTCGACAGATACGGACGGAAATATTGCGGAAGGGGATAGCACTCCTGATTACTCCCCCGCAAAGGTTTATCCAGTAGAGATCAACACTAACCATCCAAATGACTTAAACACAGATGGAAGCCCCGGATATATGGAGTTCCGAAAAACTAATCTTTCTGATAACGAGTCACTGGAGAAGACCTGCGAAGATCCGTCTAGTTTTAGGGAAACTTACGTTCGGGAGATTGACGAAAACCAACCGCCTAGATTCTCTGTTCCAGAGCTACAGTATTGCGAAGAGTGTTTACAAAAAAAGGACAATTCTAAGAAAATGAAAGACTGTGAGAAATGCATCAGTATTAATATGTCTGCTGCCGGATACAGGAACCATCAAAATAGTAACACCCGTCGCCAGTCGGTAACTCTGGCCTTAGGACGACAAAGGAGTGATTCTCTGGACTATCTCGGACAAGAGCAGCTGATTATTATTACTTGCTACGATGAAACCGAGGAGGAAGAGATAAGCATCTCGTCGTCAGCCGAAGATGCCTACAACGACAGATGGCGTCGTTCCAACGAAGAGCAGAGCAATCAGAGAGCGACACGTCATGACGACCGCAATGGCGTGCCAGAGGTAGAAGAGGTCACGTGCAAAAAGCCGACTTTACCAACCTTGGATGAAGGAGATGAATACTCTCCAATTGCTAGTCCGACTGTTGGGGTAAGAAAATGCAGGCAGGAGAGTGAACCGGTCAAAAAGCAAAACACGCCTCGTGAAGACTTGGTGAGAAGCTTACATATGGAGCTTCTAGCCAAGGTCAACAAACGCAACCGGGTGTGCGAAGAAAGAAAAATCCCTGAAGTAGAGGTGAGTAAATCGGATACGAACTCGTCTCCTGCTTCGGAGCCATCTTCTGAAGAAGGCGTCATCTGTCGAAGCTCCTCATTTTTAGAATCAAAAAAACTGATGGAAGCTCACTTCTCAAAGCCTGCGTTCAAGATGCAAGCCAGGTACCCTCTGCCGACATTAACTCTAAGTGGTAGAAGTTCCCTTAGCGAAGGACCGCCGAACAGAGATATATTAAAAGATTTAAGTCCCAAGTCCGAATGTTCGAATTATTCCCCGTCACCAATTAGGCGTGAACAATCTGAGAATAACATCTTAGAAAGCAGTCCATCTTTCTTGCAATCAAAGCGAGCCATTCAGGAACATTTTTCCAAAGTTGGTCTAAGCAGTCCTATGTCCCGTCCGTTTTCCTCTCCAAATTTAGTTAGCTATGGAAACGGATCTTATCTTCACGGCATTTCCCCACAAAAGGACCGCAAGCTATCCAATTCTTCCCCGTCTTCGCTAGGGAAACCACTCACCAGCCCAGGAAAGGCGATAACCTCCAAGCTATGCCCTTCCGACGACGAATGTCAAACTTCACAAAGCCCCGGTGTGAGTGAATCGGCCGAGAAACGCCGAAAACGAGAAAGTGAGTCGGTCTCTCCTAAAAAGTCCAAAACGCCAGGGGAATCGGTTGAATCAGAAAATGTCGCCTCATCTGACTCGTCTTCTGGATCGAGTAGTCCGATTAAAATTTCGCTCAGCCTCAGTGAGTGGGCCGAGAGACATTTGAAGATAATTGCAGCATCTCTTTCTCCGTCAAGTTCACCACATAAGGATAATTCGAATAAAGATATCAGCCCAACTAGTCCTTCAGGGAAACATATAGTCGGAATGGAAGAAAAAGGACCCAGGAGTTCCCTGAGCCTTAATGATTGGGCTGAGAGGCATTTGAAGTTGGTCGGATTCCAATTGTCTCCCTCGCGTAATGTTTCAGGAAAATTCGAAGACGAGACTCGTACTTCCCCCGAGAAAGACGGTGCCGCCAGCGACAGAGCTCAAGAACAAGATGTCCCAAAAGATGCAGGGATGAAAAGGCTCTCCGCGAATGAAAGCGAAAAGGTAATAACAAAATCGACGATAAACTCGGATAATGGTTCAGTAAAAAATGAGGTTAAATGCTCTCAGGAACGTAAGTCTAGTGAACTTAGTCTTAGCGAGTGGGCTGAACGTCATGTTAGGAAAATCGAAGAAATGAATTCAAGATCTCCAAAAATCATGCAAGTAACACATTCCGATGCTGAATCAAGTCCTGTGTGTGCATATGGTTCACTTCGAACACCGGAAAGAAGCGGAAAACCAATCAGAAAAATCTCTACCCTCGCTCTGAACGAATGGGCCGAGAAACATATTCGAGCAATTTCTGAACAGAGGCTTGTCACTGGACCACCGAAAGAGGAAAACGTATTTTCAAAAGATAATAAGAATGAAAATGAAGAACCAAAAAATAGTCAAGAGTCTGCAACTTCGACGGTCCAATCTGATCACAGCAATTCTTTACCAATTCCGCAAAATGAAGACCAATTTCCAGATCCCGAGGAAGAAATTTCCAAAGAAATAAACATCAATACTTCGTTTACCGATGCCCGTAAAGGTAGCAAATCCGAAAATGACCATGATCTGAATGTTTGTAAATTGGACAAGTCTGTAATTACACAGGAAATCGGATCCTCTCACCAATCATGTCTTATAAATAAACCAGTCTTCTCTAATCTGCAAGAGACCACAGTACCAGAGCCGGTCATAGACGTCGACCTGCAGATGAAATCGTGTGTCGACACCTTAACCGATACACCGATCTCAGAAGAGTCATCAAGTGCCATTCACCAGCGGCGGCGGTCCTCGTCGTCACAATCGCAAGTCGTCCAGGAACACGGACAAGATAATAAGGACGACGGTTCTCAGTTTCTAAGTAGCAACAACGCCGCTAACAACAACAACAACAACATCAACAACAATAACAGCAACAGTAACAACAACAACGCCGAGCTTGGACAGACGTTATCTCGTGAACGGAGCAGAAGCCCAACTTTTGATGATAACAGCAATGTAGTCGCGTCCACAAGTATTTCACAGGAAGACAAAGAGACGGACGAGAAAGACGCAGCTTTGAGCGAGGAACAACAGAGTTGCTGCTATCAGTCAGTTGACAAAGCCATGACAACAGACAACGACAATAACAGGATCAAGTCACATACGACTTCAGTTGCGACGACGGATTCAGATAGCCCATCCCTTAACAAAGTGTCCAATGAAATTGCTTACACAACAATCTGATTTAAACTAATCCGATTTAAGCAACACTACGAATTATGGAAGTAACCATTGCTAAAGATTTTTCAACTCACATCAGACGACGATTCGTATTAACTGCAGTGTTTTCCAAATACCATTCGCAAAACATTAAATTTCCGAAAATAATTATCAATTACACTTAATTATTGCTTGCCTTAGAGTATTTTTTCTACACGTTGAGAAGAGTCATTATCATTCCAAAAAGAGTTCAGGCTATTAAAATGATTTTTATATAGCTTTCTTTTTTTACCACAACATTTCAGTCCGACCATTCTATTGCCTTCTTCACGTGTAAAATTCGTAAAGAAAGTAAAAAATTATTCTTTCTTATTTTTTCTTTTATCGTAAATATAATCAAACAAAAAAGAAACGCTGATACATTTAGCAACCGGCTTGGTTTATTCCCAGCAATGCTAGTTGTACAGACAATAACATGCCCAGATCATTCCAATATCCAAGTATGGAATCCTCTATGTTACACGGAGTGCTGAGAATGTTAGGGTTCGTGTGGTTTGCGTAACTTGGATTGAATCAAGTTGGTCGTTATAGGCACCACTATAGAAAAAGTGAAAAGGAAACGCATCTGATTTTCTTACGCATTGTGCATATAAGGAAGAAGTTCGTAGAAAGGATCGGCCAAAATTCAGTGACACAAACATTCAAATGATTAATTCACTGAATTAATAGTCTGAACAACTTAATTAACTCTGGCTAGTTGCATAAAATTCATTTTTAAATTTTAAATTTAAAAGGTAGAGAATGTTAACATTTGAATCGATTCTCGTTAATTGGACAAAATAGTCTTAACTACCGCCAAGTTTAGTTGCTTAATGAACGTGCTTATAGTGTAATGGTCCGTAGCGTAGAAAAAAGATCACGTTCGACTTCCACTTGAATTAGTTACATTCGATTTTTCATGACTATGTTTGGGAAAAGTATAAAGAAATATATTGTCCTACCAAATAGCAAGCAGCCGAGTCTCTCAACCATTCTAAAAGAAGGACTTTGAACCAGGCCATACTAAACTTTATTTTTGCTCTCCTTTGACCTTCCTGTATATAATTTAAACTTCGACAGAGATAAGTATCTAGAGAGTTCCCAGTAAAAAAAAAGGGGGTAAATTTGGAAAGACGTGAGGCAACCGTTTAAAACTGGTGACGACTGATGTGACTGAAGAAAAGAATTTCACCACATTTCGTCAATCCCCACGTCGGATGTTCTACTTCGAAAAGTACTATGACTTGACGCTCAAAATCAGTAAATTTTTAACTATACGAAAAGAGAAGAACGAAAGACGAAAGTTGTCTGCTAATAACCTTTAAATAACGATTCAAGAGATCGAGCAGCCATTAATCACTCATAAAATAACGAATCAGAGTAATTACGTGAGAGTCGAATGATTATTCAAGGTCATGAATATTCACGAAAGTTATTTAAGGTTATTTATGGTCACTTATTCCTGAAAGATAAAAGAGTAATAATAATTTTTTTTTTTTTTTTTACTGGGCATCCGTTAGTTACATTCCAATTTTTGGAGATTGGATATGTAGTAATTTAAATATTTATGATTATTATTAATTTAAAATCGATTACTTCTAGAATAAAGCTGTTAAAATTCTCAAATAGATATTGCTGAATTGACTGAATTGTTTTGGTTTTTCTCACTTCTGTCAATGGTCGGCGTTCGGTCCATGTTAAACTTTCGTATTTCGAATGGTGATTTACAAGACTGACATCGTTTCATTTAAATGACTGGCTTAGCACAATCTTTTGACCAAAGTTCCATCTGCATTGGCTCTCTCGCTACAATGGCCTTGGGCCAAAGAAAATAAGCAATTATCATTGTAACAAATACACTGCTTTCTAGCAGAGCCGTAAAGTTATGGTCAAAAATAATAATTGCTGTTACACCCATAGTCAGCCTCGACAGGTCGAGATGAGTGGTGATTACATTGTAATATGCTCTCCTGTCCGAGAGCATGCAAGCAAGAGTCTCGTAGACTACTGGCTAGTGAATTTATTTTCGCCACAAATTGTGGCCTTGTAAATAACCCTGAACATTAAGCCAGAAAGATTTGCTTATTCTAGATGCTTGCGTAGCGGTTCATCTTCAAAGGACACTAATGCCAGAGGTGAGATCAAATCGCTCATGTGGTAAGTTTGATTCACATAGGAATTCAACACCGGGGTCCTTGTTCTTACAATTAATAAAGTAGAAAATGTCTGTTCTAGATACCTGCTCAGTGGTGCGAAGCTATTCAAAACGTTGAAAGAAAAAATTGCTATTTATTTTACTTTAGTTTCATTTAATTTATCCTTCATGTGGTTATATCTGTGTGTGTGTTTGTGTGCATGTCTATATGTGTGTTTGTGCGTGTGTGTGCTTTTTTTTGTGTGTATGTGTGTGGTAACCCAGTAGGATAGTAGAGACACCCTGCTTACTGCAGCAATAGCAACAGGGTGTGTATACCTTGACAGTTTCCCAATAGCCTTGAGGCTGGTTTTGAATTTAAAATTTTCCTGGTTGCTTCCTCTAAGCAAAAACGTCTTCCTTGCTCTTTAACCCATAGCTGGAGAAAGATGGATCCGTACCATTTCGAAGAGCATTACGGCGACGTATACAAAACGGAATGAAGCGGCAATTGAACTCGGTACGCCTAACACACTTTCGACGCTGATATTAATTACTTCCGCTTAATCTGTGCATTCATTTAGTGCATGTTGTCCCACTATAGTTATCCTTCCCCTCCATCACTTTCAGCTTGATGCTACCCTTACAGCCTCAGCCATCGTCATTTCAGTTCACCACTGAATACGATCAAACCAAGACATGGGTGGCCGTCCCTGTCGCCGCTTGCTCTCCACTTAGTCCAGCAGAATATCCTTATCGAAGCCGCCTCCTCGCATAATATGCCCAAAAGAAACAGAGCTTCCTTAGTGCCATTGGCTCTTTCAATATGTACCTTGTTCTGCTGGTATCTAACACCTGCTTATTAGTACGTCTCGCTGTCCATGGCAGTCTAAGGAGTCTGCGGTATGTCCTCATCTCGAAAGCCGTGTTTTCCTCTTGGTCAGTGCACATGACTCGCATCCGTAGCTGACGATGGCGAAAGCAGTGGCTCGAAGTAATTTCAAGACTAAATTGAGACCAAAAAACATCTCTGTTCCGGCTTTTATAACGTTTTCTAATTATTTCGTTAAATTGATTAAAAATTAGATTTTAAAATGACTGGATAATTTCTCACGTCTTCCAAAAATGGCATTGAAAGAATAAATAAAACACTACCAAACAGTTAACCAAAATAAACTGTTTGTGTGTCATTGTCAAGTATTTTGAGGACGGTAAAGAAACTCGGGTGGTAGATTGGTTTAAATATAAACGTTTTATTACTATTATTATTATTATTATTATTATTATTATTATTATTATTATTATTTTACTCGATTGTGCCGTTAACCTTATGAACGAATTTCGGTCTTCCACCATTGCTATGATTCAATTTCATCACTTGGGATACAAAGCTTACCAACATTTCTTCGCAAGTAACTTTACAATTCACTGCAGACATCAGGTATTGCCCCAACATTCGTATCTACTTGAAACAGATGAAAATTAATTTAACCTGAATATTTTCTTTAGTGTGACCTAAACCATCCACCCAAGATAAACGGCACATCGTCAGAGGTTACTGTTTATGGTAGCCTATTAACAAATAAACCGCATTCTTCGATTCACTGCTGTAGACATCAGGGCGTACTCATGATAAAACAATGGTGGTGTTCTGCCTGAAGAACAGATACAGGCTTTATTTTTCTTGTTCTATATATATATATATATATATATATATATATATATATATATATATATATTTATTTATTTATTAAAGACATTTTTTTTTATGTTTAACGTTTTTTTTTATAGATACAAGTATTTAAGTAAATGCTCTGTTTATAATAAACAGTATTAAATAACATTTACCGGCCTAAATGCCCGAGAAATTTTCTTATATATATATATATATATATATATATATAATATATATATATTCACCTGATTTTCTGGCATAACATTTGATCCTAGTTCCGTGCCGGATTATCCGAAACAGAAGGTTCATAATAATTCAATGATACTCGTTTGATAATTTGCGTTTCTCATATCACTACAGCATCATTAACTATTACAAACATTGAATAATCACATGACACACACTACGCCACGTGTGGCCGTTCGGTGAATTAATATGACAATCGTTTAAAATTCAGTTAGCTTCCTTGGAAAATTTTCAGAGTAAAAAAAAAAAGAAAGTACTTTATCATTTGTTCAAAAATCGGTAGTCTATCTGTAGGTATGAATAAATTCCATCAGAATTTAAACTCGGCATGCCAATTCCACTCACCCGGGCCGACAAAAGTTACGCTAGTGACACGCCTTCGATAAAAAAAAAAAAAAAAAGATAGTAGGCAATCTTTTTCTGTGTACTGAGTCCGTTCAGGACATGCGCAATGATGGCAAAAACCTCCTTGTGGCCTGCAGTTTTTCACTATGCCCCGCCTTCCGATCATGGCTTAGAAAAAAACCTACGTAGTTATTTTTTTCATTTGTTGCTTTATGCAATCCCATCCCCACTTCCGCTCCACCATCCATACAAAATCGTCAGATAGATGTCTCAATAGCGCTTTAGACCAACTATTGAACTGTTGAAGCTATTTAACACGTAGCAGGAGGTCTTGATTTCAGAGCTGTCCTTCACTTAGGCCCAAGGCTATAAGATCCATTTTGTTCTACTATTTTACCCATTGTAGGGGAGATTAGACGGATTTATATCTTTCCCAAGTGTATTAGCACGTAAGTCAATGTAATGAACTCGACTGGATTTCGAACTCGGCTCTCCGATTCCTCAGTCCGAGTCACTAGCCATTATTCCGTATGTAAATAATGCCGGAAAACAGAAAAAAACTATTTATTCACCCATTGTATTAAT